GGGACGAGAACAAGGAGGAAACAGTAGAACATAGTATACATGGAAGTGGGGGATCGAGGAGATTTCAGCAGTGGACCAGTACACATACCTCGGAGTAGAGATCGCAAAAGACTGCTCGTGGAATGTATACATGTCCAAGGTAGCGGAAAAGGGCATAGCATGAGCAGGGAAGCTGCACCCAATACTCGCAAACCGGCGCCTCGATACACCCATCAAATTGACGGTTTTGAAGGGCGTAATCGTACCGGCGCTAGAGTACGCCGGAGAAGTATGGGAAGGAAAAAAGAAGGTAGACTATTAGTGAAAGAACTCGAGGCGGCGCAGATGAAAGCAGCGAAAATCATCCCAGGATACTCCAAGCTCACAAGTAATGCAGCCGTGAGGGCAGAATTGGGGATCCAATCCCTACGGTCGGGAAGAGACGCGAGGAAGCTGACCTGGCAGTATCGCATGTGCGGGATGGGAGAGGAGAGGTTGCCGAGAATTGTATGGGAGGCGAAGTGGGCAAACAAAAAGAGGGGTAGACAACCCACGGAATGGGTCAAGGTTGTAGAGGACGTATGGAAGGGGCTCGACATCGACGAAGATGAAACGCTGGAAACGGAGGGTCTACAGGGGTTCAAGGAGAAGATATCTGTTGCTTGTGCCGAGAGAGAAGAACAGAATCTGAGGAAAGAATCCAAGGATAAGGAGGGTCTAGAAGTGTACGGAATGTTGAAGGAAGGACTAGGGTTCAAGGATTACCTACATGGACCAATGGATGCAGGAACAAAGCTTAATGTCAAATTCAGGACCGGGGACATAGGCCTTCGAGAACGTCGACGAAGACATAGGACGGTAGACGAGGAAGACGACGAGTTCAAATGTGATTGCGGCTTCGAATGCGAAGACCGTGTTCATGTAGTCGCGGAATGTCCGTTGTACAAGAAGGAGAGGAAAGTGTACGTGACCGGGCTGGGAAAAATAGATGGGACGTACAGGGAGATGTTTGAGGCATGGAATAGAGAGGAAAGGACGGTAGCTGTACTGGGGCATAGGAGGTGGGTTGAAAAGGCGGGAAGGGATATCGTTGGGATAGACAGACTAGGGAAGGCAATTTTAAGCCACCTTTGGCAAATTAGAAAGGAACGATTGGCCATCGGTGGTCGGTCCTGTGGGAACAATGCTCCGTCCT